TCCTGCTGTGTGTGTTTGTCCATCAATGATGAAGAGATCCTGTTCAGTCCCATTCTCGCTGCCAGGTAGCAGCTCATAGCTGTAGGAGTAGCCTGACTTTTGGGGAACAGCCTTATACCAGTAGAAGCTCCAGCCAGCAGAAGGATGATCAACCCTGCAGTTCAGAGTTACTGAGGCTCCAGGACTCGGCCATGATGGAGACACAGTGAGAACAGGCTGAGGTCTTTCTGTTGGAAAGTGATTTAATGATAAAGTTATGATTTATAATTGGTGGGTTACATGCACGCATTGGATCCTAAATATTTCTTGAATACAGTATGCAAAAAAACAAATGTAAGTGTGAACTGTATAATATAACAACCAAAATGGTAGTTATCAGTTATTTTGTTTACAGTAAAAGAAAATCCATTTGTCACAGGTAATAAAGTATAACCAGGTTTGTTGGTAAAGTATTATCTTTATGTAAATGATTTGATATAAGAAGCTGATCCCTGTCTGTCTTTCTGTTCTTATTTTAATGCTCTATTTTGTGATAACACAAAGCACATGATTGTATACATCACCATACAGCATCAGTGGAGGTGTTCTCATAAATAAATAAAAAATGCTTTTATTGAACTTGGTCATGTTGGTATTACTTTGATCACTTACCTGATACATTTAGATAGATTTTATTGCTTATTTTTGTTGATCCCCCGTGCAGAAAAAAGCATTGGTATTCACCACTGTAGCCTGTAGCTAGAGGGTGTAATTTAAAGCTCTCATGTTTTTGGTAAGAGAGAAATTCTCCACCATCCCTTTGTATTGAGTAATACCAGTCGCTGTCTTTGTCTCCTGTAATGTCACACTTGAAGGTAACAGACTCTCCAGTAAAAGAAGTGGCCCAGTTTGGCTCAATGGTCAGCACAGCATCTAGAAACCATCACAAGAAACATAAAGTAAAATGTGTTTTCTTTTTGTCAAAACATTTATCATAAATTGACAAAACGGAACACACAAAAAAGAGGATGTTGTTTGGATAGTTACATAGGTAGATTTTACTTTACTTATATATTAGTAAACAACAAGAAAGAAAATGGTATAATCACCTTGAGCTTGTCCACGGTAAAGTAAATTCAGCACTGAAATAAGTATGAAACTCAGAACTCAGACATTATCAAACTGACAGAAATCAAACATATCATAACCTCAGGCATTTAAAAAGTTGTAACAATGGCAATTAAAACATGAAAAGTACTCACAGAAAAACCCCAGTAGAGAGAGCAAAGTGTGTCCCATCTTCACATCCAACACTTTTAATCTGTTCCTCTGTTTCAGAGAAATTCTTCTACTTTGTGAAAATAGAAAGATCGAAACTGCAGCATATGAAGAGGAATCAGGAACTACAGAGAAACAAATGCAATGTAATATTGGAAAAGGACGTTATTTTCTAACTTCTTTACACGGTCTGCGCTTCCTTCCCTTTTACACAAACCTCACACAACTGAACAGTTTTTAACACGGCACATTTTAGTGCACCTCTGTTTAGGTATCCTCTAATGATGAAAAGAGATAAGGTTTTAAAATATCCTTCCTGACGTAGATAAGATCATCCTGTGGGCTTGTGCTCCTACACAAATGGTCAGTAATTATTTATGCTGCTATAAAGACTGCTGCATGAAGTCAAAAAGCGTCCTTTCTAGAATAAATTAAGTGATAAAATTGCATGCGTCATACTCACTTTATAATCCATGGGCCTTCTCACCAATATTTAATATGAAAATGTGTGTAACAGCTTTAACCAAATAGTTGAACTGCAGTGCTGGAGTGTTATGGAGGAAATCAAGTTTAAGTTTAGAAACAACCTCACCCACAGGAAGTCTCTCATAGTCTCTTTACCAGAAGTGAATGTGAAGAGAGACAAAGTCCTGCGCGCAAAACTGTATCACAACAGTTGTACAGTACATAGATGACTTAATGCAATAAGGATACAAAATAAATAAATACCACAACACTTCAGTAGCTGTGAAGTTTTAAATGTGGTGGGTAGTCAAAATTGAAAACTTCCACTTCCATGCATCAGTGCAAAGCTAAGGAAGTGAACCGTAAGCAGTCAATTGTTTAGTTATTAGTTAGGGAGTTACATTTACATGACATCAGACCCTGGTGCCAGACTTCAGAAGGACTATTTGTGTAGAGTAGGTAAAGTGGTTTGACACCACCTTGTGGTCATATATCGAAATACATGTTCTACTGCACAGTGACAGGAGAAACATTTTAATAAAATATCCTCAGTAAAATACTTACATAAATTGGACAAATTAATGTTGGCTGTAGTGCGTCAGTAGATTCCCTTCTTCTATCTCTTTACATAGAGAATACTGGATGTTTACCCATGGACAATGTAGGAACAAAGTACCATTTATTCACATTTTGAAATCATACAAGATAATAAAGTGTAAGTACTAGCAAGAAACATATTATATATTAAGTGCATTAAGGGTTTTGGTTACCATTTTTTTATTTGAATGACAATAATATGTTTGAAAAATATAGAATGTTCTGCCTTGTTTTCTTCCTGGAGAGGCTTTACTGCTTTGATTGCATTGAAAGCACGAAATAAAGATAATACTTGTGGGTTGTTGTTTTTGTATTAGTGAGAAATTCCATCATGTTTTAATTATATTGGATAATCTGCTTCACAAAACACAGAACGTTTGTATTATTAAAGATGAGATAATAAAATAATTCAAGTTATTTGTATTAATACAAAACAAAAAACGTGCCCTAAAAACCTGAAAGAAAACAAATACACTGCTGTACAAAAGGTGTGTGCTTCAGTTCCTTTGAATCTGAACATCTTGTTTGACCGATTGGTGGCGCTGTGACTTCAGATGATTTGGCTTTTGCAAGAGACTACTTCTGCAGATAAATTAAAGGCATTAGATAATGTGTTGGCACCCTGTGGTAGCATCTAGTAAGAATCATTCACTGAACAGTACATGCAGGTAAAATTGCATTTGGGTTTTATTAATAATATATTTGTGTGTCCACTGTGAGCATCTACAGTGCTAAAGCATGTGTCCATACTGCATATATTAGTATCTGGCTCTATTATCACTCAATTTACAACAAGGTTAGAGCCACATGATCTGTATCTGACATGTAAAAAATAAATGTTGTAGTACAATGTTTTACACTAAATATAAGTACACAGAAAGTAAGTATACAGTTGATCTGCAAAGCATTTAGCATGTTCCTAGAAAGGCCGTTATTAAAAAAGGCACTGCGCTATTTACACAAAAGCAGCAAATACACTCAATTGCTGAAACAAGGATGTTGCTTTTCATGTTTTTATCCGCTCCATTGGTTCTGTCCATGAGGATGTCTTTATTGATCTGGAAGAAAACCAAAATAAGTTATTATCATTGGGTCATTTCTGCTCATGGTACTATTTTTGAATACAACAATGTATAGTAAAGCCAACTAATTTGTGTGTGAAAATATGTACATTTGCCATTTATGAATTATGATGTTTTAAGTAATGTTTCATTAAACCCAAACATGTCTGGAAAACAACATGCTGTATATAAGAAAGACATGAAAATGCACAAAAAGTGTAAAAGCTTTATTTGGTGGATTTGATCATTGCTGAAACTGGCAACTGTGTTTGAACATATTTGCACAGCACACAATAAAAGCTTTTAGTATATTCATGTGTATATGTATTAAAGTGTTTTGTACTTGACTTTACCTGCAGCCACGTTTGAGTAAAGGCTCTCTTCTGGTTCATTACTGGCACCTGCTAGAAGGATTAAAATAATGTATCAAAGGACATTCCTGTTCTTTATTTAGAGACTGCTGGCCTACAAAAGCATCTCAACCATTGCATGTAGTATTTGTATTACTTCATGTTAAACACAAATTAAATACTGTACCATTTCCAGCTTCTACAGGCTCTCCGATTCTTCCATAGAGACAACGATCACCTACAGAGAAGTGAAAATCAAGCCATGGTTACACCAATCATTTTAATCACAATTAAGGATAAGAGTTAAAAATACTGTAAATCATATTATAAAACCGGAGAAGGGCTGACCATGGAGGAGAGTAGAATATTCTGGCATGTTTAGAATTTCATCCTGGTTGATCATGTGGTCTGTAGCAGGGCCCTGATTGGTGCTCTGAGATCTTGTGGGACATACACATGAAGATAATGAAGTGGATTGAATTTAACATATAACTGCTGTAATGTTCAAAATGAGATAAAAGAGGGTTGTACCGACCTGATGAAGACTGAATCTGTAGAATACAAGAAAAACTTAGTTACATTGTTTTTGAATTGCAAATGTGTGATTTTGAGTAATTACAGTTTAATTCATTTGATATCAGATGAAAAGGTTCTTACCTTTTGATTTTCTGTAGCAATACAGGGACAGAAGCGGGAGAATTATCAGTAAAACTCCACAAAGCAGCCCAACAGTCAACAGGACGGGAAATTGAGAGACTTTTCCAGGCCGAGAAGCTGCTAATATAAATAACCTTAATTATTATTTTTGTATATAACACTTTCCTCAAAGCACTTCACAGGAACAGAGCTTCAAGGTCAGAACAAGCCTCAGAAATCTCTAAGATAAATAAACAATGACAATCAAAAAATGTTTTAAAAACCTACATTCACACATTGACACATACATGTACAACTATGGAATATACAAAACTGTACAAATACACTTACACATAAATCATAAATATTTACACACTTATTGGAACAAATTCACAAAATACACTATAAACCCCTGTTCACATATCTTATATTTGCAATGCTGCTCATGTAATCATGGTCATATGAATGTTTTAAGACTGAATACAGAACTGGAAAAATATATTTATTTTTCAAAAACTAAATTGTATAATTCAGAGGAAACTAAGACAACTTTGAATTCAGTATTAACGGTCTTTTTTAGCTCTGACTCAGCAACACATCTCAAAAAGAGGAAACTGTTTTTTATCATACTCACATTTTACTGAGAACCAACTCTCTGGTGACGTCCAACCATCTGCTGAATCTCTCTGTTTACATTTATAAAAGCCTTCATCTGACTTTGACACTGCAGAGATGGTCAGCTCCCTTCTGGTATCATTCTGGATGAGTTTGTCATTTTTATAGAAATCCGCATTATAAACGGTTTCTGTCTTTAACTTGCAGCTAAGAGTGGCAGGAAGTCCCTCGGCTACAGGTCGGACAGGGCTCACCAGGATAATATCATCATCTGTTTAAAAATAATCAAAGAATATAAAGGCTTTATCAGAGACATCAGCTTTTGCAGATTTAATACGTTTATGCAAAACCGGCCTTATTTGGCGAAGCTGAAATGTCAGGTAGATGTACAGTATGAGGACATTAAAACACAGAATATTTTCTTTGATCTTAGAGAGAAGTGACCCTGGAAATCATTCCGCAAATTGGGCTTTTTTATAAAGTTTTACTAATTTGAAGAGACGTTTGGCTAATGCTTGTCACCTTCACATTTCAGAACAATATAATACTTCAGAAACAAACATTTTAAATAATTAAAACTCACCATCTTTAGTGATGTTGACTGCATTACTGAACTGTCCTGTTTCAGACTCACACCAGAACACTCCACTAAGCCATCTTCTGGTTATTGTGCATGTGGATCCAGTCATTGTCCCCCAGATAGAACAGGGAAGAAGAAGGTTGTCAGGTTGTGAAAACTTCATCACTCTCCACTCAGTGGAGTTTCCCTCACAGCTCAGTGACACAGACGTTTCGGTGAAGTGCTGCACACTGTCAGGACTCACTGTGAGAGACGCTACTGAATTAATATCTGAAACACACAAAGGGGACAAACAAAGCATTTATTTGTATTGAAGGCAACTTGAACGTTAAAAAAACAAGAAGCATTTAATCAACAATAAAGAGTGAGTGTCTAATTAAAGCATGTAAATATTATTTTGCGAATTTTTGAGTGAATTTCTGAATGTAAAGAATTTGGAGTGGTTTGTAACATTGGGGAACTTTTATGTAGAACATAACAAAAAGGCATATCCAAAATATCCCAACACTCAAAATAAATGGAGTCCTCCATTTAAAGGTTTATGGGGCATAGAACAAGAAAGAAAGAAGGATCGAAGAAAGAACATATATGAAAGCTAATACAAAAAATAAGAACAAAGCTATTGAGAGAATGAGAAGAATGGATGGATGTAAAGAAGGACAAATTGAAAGTATCAGTCCTTCAAACCTGAACCACAGCTTACATTGACCTGATGCTTGTGTGAAGGAAAAGTTACCAAAATAAGGGAATTCCTACCATTTTGCAATAATGGAGAAGTCAAATCATACTGACCTCCAGACCAGAAAAACGTAGGTTTGGTGTATGAAGTGTAAAACACTGGATCTCCCCTTCCTGCTATGCACACATATCCTGCTGTGTGTGTTTGTCCATCAATGATGAAGAGATGGTGTTCAGTCCCATTCTCGCTGCCAGGTAGCAGCTCATAGCTGTAGGAGTTGTCTGACTTTTTGGGAACAGCCTTAAACCAGTAGAAGCTCCAGCCAGCAGAAGGATGATCAACCCTGCAGTTCAGAGTTACTGAGGCTCCAGGACTCGGCCATGATGGAGACACAGTGAGGACAGGCAGAGGTTTGTCTGTTGGAAAGTGATTTAATAATAAACTTATGATTTATATTTGGTGGGTAACACACTCCTTGCATCCTACATATTGTATACAAACCTGTAAATCACATTCAAAGGTTAACTGTCCTTAATATAATAACAAAATAAAATAATATTTGTATTTACAGCAAAAACAGTAAACTGATGATGTGTGACTTACCCAACCTGGTCTCACCAGAATGCGTGACTCCACCACGACTCCTTAACACCGCATTGCGTGGTGGAGTCACGAACTTTGCTACATTTACGTGACTGCACCACGCAAACAACCCCAATGTAAAGTGAATGAGGCTCCTTTGTCGTGGTGCACACACGCATTTCTACAACGTCCAGCAGTGAGCTTTTATTCTATAAAACGTTTTTAAAATCTACTTTATAGCTTGTAGTAACTCACAGGAGGCTTCTTTTATTTTATTTGTATTCATAATAATTTTTATTTTTCGTCAGAATGTATTATGATGCATTATTCACCAATGTTTGTTCTCAAAAAACAATGCATTGTGTGTAATACAACTGTGATTTTTATTAAATTAGTTCGTTTTTAAGGAAGGCCAGAGCTTCAGCTGTGTCAAAGAGATTGTTCCCTTTAGTTAACGTTATTTAAAAGATAATTATATTCCTATTTGATCAAGTACCCTTTATTGTATTACGGACCCAAAGAGCTGAGCGTCCATTCCCATTGGATAACGGAGCATTTTACACCCGGAAGTAAGTATTCTCCTTACTGTCCATTGATTTTATTTACAGTGATATCTGCACTACTCATCAACTCAAAAACACCAGATTATCCTTGTTAATTACACAACATTGATTGGTTTAAATTGTGTGCAATGCTTTTGTATTTTCCCCTTTCGATTCGGAGAAACAAATATGTTTTCGGAGTGTGTGGATGGTAGAAGACACTACACTACCCAGAATCCTCAGCTATTGTTCCGCTTTGCCTCAAGCTCTGTGATTGGTTGACCTCCAACTGCATTCCAATGAAAAAAACGTTTCGTAAAAGATCAAATCATACTTTATTCAGCAGTGCTTGCTTTACTCTTTGAAAGTCATCACATGAATGCATTGTAATGAATGGTTTGGCTGCATTAAACATTACACATCTGTCGTAGTTCTTTATTTATCTACAGAGATCGAGCCTCAGAATAGACCGGAAACTATTCTTTTACCGTTCTATTTTAATTTCACAATAAAGTTAGTAGTAATAATTTGTTTTGATATTATTGTTTTTTATTAACTACTAGACCGCTGGGTCATGTTAAGACCATCTTTTCTGTGTTGCTGTGGGTTTTTTACATCGCTTTTGTGTTACAAATATCAAAACAATAACAGAATATATCCGTCGTAAACTAAACCAGAAACAGCAGTATATTTTATTTTGTTAACACTGTAAACTTGACAGCTTTTTAACCCGCACCTCCTACTGGTTAAAGCACGTTATTACACGTTTAGAGTAATGCAATGCAGGTAGATTGGGTTGCTTTTTAATGACTGTTTTAAAATGCCTTTTTCTTAATGTCTTTCATTTTTGTAAAGCACTTTTGAATGTGTTATATTTGATGAAAACATTTAAATATTAAGAGTACATACTCTTAATATAGTGGGAAAGTGGAAGGTCAATGATATAAATAATATAGAATAGAAAATATCAAGAAGATACTGTAAGTGATCTCTACAATAAAACAGTTTAGTGCCTGATAGGAGGATGTGCAAAACAGACAAACTAATAAGGCTTTATTTAAACATTAAAGAATACTTTAGGTTAAGGTCTTCTTTTAAATAAGAAAAAAGCTTTGGGGGTATCTACAGATATTAAGCCTGACAAAGTACTTAACGTCTAATATATTGCATGGTTTGTTTTGGAACTTGACAATCAACTTTCCTTCAATGTTAACTATGTTGAAGCACTTATTTTAACTGATATTATACATATTAATTATACTCTTATAAGATGTATGTAGATAGTATAAGAAATGTGCAGAATATGTTTAATGGTGGAGGTACACAGATATCGATAGATGTCTTGTGATGCACTGTTGATGAACCTGTGACCCAAGTGTTTCATTCATTGCATAACTACACCGTAGTTGTGTATATGATATGTCAATAAACCTTAGAAAATCTTGAAATCTTGAAAGGGATGTGCAAAATAGCTATTATATACAGTTTTTAATTAACTATTAGCAGAGAATAACGAGTAATGAATATGCTTTATAGGGATCTGCAGATACATATTTAGTCTTCTCAAGCACCCACTACCAAATATCTCGCCTGATTGTTGGCTGAATTCACTGAATTTTACTCAGGTGTAACTAAAGTCTGATTTAAGGGTTGTTTATATTTCACATCATTAATCCAAATCTGTAAAGTAACTAAAATAAATGTAGTGGAGTAAAAATACCAGGTTAACCTTAAAGAAAGCCCTCAGGATTATAAAAGACCCCCATCACCCCAGCCACAAACTGTTCTGTCTGCTGCCGTCTGGCAGGCGGTACCGCAGCATCCGGACTAAAACCACCAGACTCAGGGACAGTTTCATCCCTCAGGCCATAAAACAATTAAACACCTGCACTTAGAAACAACATCCATAACATTCATCTGGCTGCTACTTAGAAATTATTTATCTAATATATCATATTCCAATCACTTGTATATAGACTCGTATTGCACAATTTCACTTTTTACTATTTTACTATTTTTCTTTTTGTATTTACTTGCACTATTTGTTCTGTGTAGCCTATCTGTTTTATTGTGTTGCACTGTTGGAGGAGCCTGTAACCTAAGGAGGGGGGGGGTAGGACACGTTCTAAGCACATGGTGTAGTCCCATAGCTGAGGATTCTGGGTAGTGTAGTGCCTTCTGCCATCCACACACTACGAACAAATATTTGTTTCTCCGAATCGAAAGGGGAAAATACAAAAGCATTGTACACAATTTAAACCAATCAATGTTGTGTAATTAACAAGGATAATCTGGTGTTTTTGAGTTGATGAGTAGTGCAGATATCACTGTAAATAAAATCAATGGACAGTAAGGAGAATACTTACTTCCGGGTGTAAAATGCTCCGTTATCCAATGGGAATGGACGCTCAGCTCTTTGGGTCCGTAATACAATAAAGGGTACTTAATCAAATAGGAATATAATTATCTTTTAAATAACGTTAACTAAAGGGAACAATCTCTTTGACACAGCTGAAGCTCTGGCCTTCCTTAAAAACGAACTAATTTAATAAAAATCACAGTTGTATTACACACAATGCATTGTTTTTTGAGAACAAACATTGGTAAATAATGCACCATAATACATTCTGACGAAAAATAAAAATTATTATGAATACAAATAAAATAAAAGAAGCCTCCTGTGAGTTACTACAAGCTATAAAGTAGATTTTAAAAACGTTTTATAGAATAAAAGCTCACTGCTGGACGTTGTATAAATGCGTGTGTGCACCACGACAAAGGAGCCTCATTCACTTTACATTGGGGTTGTTTGCGTGGTGCAGTCACGTAAATGTAGCAAAGTCCGTGACTCCACCACGCAATGCGGTGTTAAGGAGTCGTGGTGGAGTCACGCATTCTGGTGAGACCAGGTTGGACTTACCGTTAGATACTGTCAATGTGAAGACATCACTCCACAGCGTTTCAGACATTTCACCTTTCAGTCTGCCCACACACTGGTATTTCCCACTTCTTGATGAAGGAGCAAGGTGAGATTTCTGAGGTGTTTCTGACCCAGGTGTCCTCCAAGAAAACTCCCACTCATAGTCTCCTCCATCCTCAATTTCACATGTAAGAGTGAAGGTTTCTCCAGAGTATATCTGAGGCCAGTTGGGTTGCAGGGTCACAACAGCCCTGTTTGTGACTGTTAACCATCAATGAGCACCAAAAACAAAGGCAATGTTAGACATGAAACATAGCATTTTTTGTGTCAAATACATCATTTGTTTTTCTGTATGACATAATATTAGATGTTTTAATTACCGACTGCATCGCTGTACTCTGTGTAGTAAACAGGGTCTCCTCTTCCTCCTCTGCACCAGTAGACGCCTCCTCGTGAGACACTGATTCTGTCATTTGTGAGGAAAACAACATCTTGTGTCTTCAGGGGTTCAGAGGTTTTCTCTTTTTTGTACCAGAAGTATCTCCAACCAGAAGCTGATGATGGTCCTACAGAGCAAGTTAGAGTCACATTGCCCCCTCCTGGAAATATGTATCTCAGCTGGGCCTTTAGTTTTGCTGTTTAATGTAGAATAAAGGTACAAATGTTTACAAAATGTTAGTTATTGTCCCTGTAAATAAGCCTAGCTTGACAAATAATACAAATGTGAAAATATAGTGAAATAACTATGCTTATTTTCTATTTATAACCACTGAAGTAGTTGGTTAACCTTGTGTAGAAACGCACATAAAACGGGGTGAAAATGTCAAAAGTCTTTTTTTTCTTTGTTCATTGTCCAGTGCTTCTAAGATTAGGCAGATATTATAATTCTGTTTCATTTTGGGATTACTAAATGTCTGAAGCTTTTGGGTATGAAAACTACTTACGTTCAGTTCTCAGTTTTATTGGTTCAGATTCTTCATCGCCAAATTTACAACAGTAAGGGCTCCCGTCTGACATTACTTGAACGGTGTTGTTTGACTGGTGGTTTCTGTCTGTTGTGATCAATGATCCGTCTCTGAAGAAGGCAGCATTCCCCTCTCTCTGAAAACGATACCTACAACGCAGAGTCACTGATTCTCCTTCAAACAAAGTGGACGCAGGACTTTCCAGTATCACGTTTTTGTCTGTGTAACACAAATGATTCATTATTATAGTAAACAGCTCAATTAATAACACATTAGTACAACAAATACTTCCAGTTATGAAAAATACATTTTCACATTTCATGAAAAAGGAATACAATTTTACCTGCACTGTTTGAATAATTACTGTTAAGCACATTAAGGTGTATTAGTTTCTCGAATATATTGGT